CAGAATATTTTATTACAGTTAAAGGTATATTATCACCACCACCAATTAATCATTGTTGATAGTTAAAAGTCGTTTCGTTCTTAATCACTCGTCAAGTACACAGCATGAATTGCACTTTATCTGAAAAAGAAAAAAAAACGTTAGATACGTCCTTACATGGCACCCGTGAAATAATAACCTTCTTTTTTTGTCGGTAAATCATCAATCATAAGATTGTCGAATTGTAGCCTAAAACGAGGAGAAATTTCTTTTGACACAGTGCAAAATGTGTCAAATCATAGTGTTTTGCATAGGAAACTATCTTAGACTACTTTACAAAGACAAAATCATTGCAGTGCATAAAACTCTCACATTTGGGTCAGTGGTTGGGTCGATGTCATTACGTAATTATTCACATGGTTCCTTAAGAAAAAAGTTATGAATTAAGTTATATTTCCTATGCAAATGATACAACTAACATTCTGCAATATTTATATTACATGATTAATTTGATAATTTTAATATTTTTAAATGACGAAAACTATAATTAAATGTTTTTGGTATTTCCGCTTGAAAAGTCATGAATGTTATTTGATTGGATCCTTACAACTTTATTCTAGTGAAGGGTAGTTTTATTTTTATGTCTTTCTTGTTACAAATTACCGCACTCTATTGTTTTATGTATATATACTGCAACAAATAGTACTTGCTCGAATAAACCATCAGCGACATCTTTTAGCCTTACCTTGTAAAAGCCGGCGACTGAGTTTAGAACTTTTAGAGCAGCTATTTCTTCCCAAAATCTAACCGAGCTAAGGAAATTCACAATGTATAATTATCTTAATCAATTAAACGCATTTCACGAGGACAGGTCCCGACTATACCATATGTGATACATCAAGATACATGTAATTGTAATAACATAGATATATACATACTATTATCGCCTAATTCCTCGATCGTTTCGACCGATTCAAATGAATCACTCGCTGATTGACTTTCACTTGATTCCGAACTCGAACTATCTACTTCTGCAGGACTTATTATGATACAGATCAGCATCTGAAATCAACAAAGAATCCATGAAATATGTACGTTTCATTTTTTACTATAAGGGAATATATATATATATATATATATATATATATATATATATATATACCAAGTATTGGGTATATGTCATCATGTTGCAGTAATTGTTATGTTATACAATAATAAAAATGTTAACTATTTAACTATTATAATTTGGAACTAATTTCAAACAACATTACGATGATCCACATCTTGTTTATCGACACTAGAAAAATAAAATGTTGGCTTAATATATGTCCTACGCGTGAAGTGTTTACAATGATCACCAATGAAATAATAATAACTATGTGGCTGTGGAGGACTCTAAACCATTTACAAAATGTATCAGCATAAACTTACCAGTGCCAAAGCTATACACATAAACTTAGTTGCCATGTTGTCACTTGATTAACAGTTTGAAAATACTGTAAATATAACATACATATTCAGAATAATAATATTATATAAATTAAAACAAGATCACATAGGCCCAAGTCTTGCAGTGTAAGCAAAGTTCAAATAACTTAATACATAATATAAATATTATTGTAATTCCGAGTAAAAATGTGCATTTTATTCATTCAAAAGCATTACACCCATAGAAGGTTTTTCATCCACTGAAAAAATAATAAACGTACATAATGCTCAATATACTTCTGGAAATTATATATCTGCATAACAATAACCAGTTAGTATCAAATATCCATGTAGTAGTAAAGATGGATGTATATTATTGCAAACAAATTTACAAACTATAATGTACCATGTATATACACGCTAATTTCAGTATAATATTTTAATGAAATTATGACACTTTAAATTCATTTATAATGTGTTTACTGATAGTTTTTGGAATTATATATGTTTT